TCCAGAAATTAAATAGGAGTAGAAGAAATACAGAACTCTATGGCAACCCACAATGTAGGGGTCAAGGGCAAGATCTCTTAAGTAACTCAAGGCAGCAAATATACATAATTCTCCTTCCTTCTATTTTGCCCACAACTACCTGTGAAGTGGGTGGGTTGAGCTGAGAGGGTGACTGGTCCCAAAACACCCAGCCCACTTTCATGACTTAAAAGTCCCCTGGTTTTTAGGCCAGCATCTCAATCCATACACACCAAACTGTCTCTCTAATGTCCCAAAGGTTTAGAAACCCTGCTCCATGCATTCATTCAACTACCTTTTAAAGCCATCTGAGCAACTAGTCATGTCTATTGTAACATGCCACTAAAATCCATAAGCACACACAGGATGGGGTTGGCTTTCATCCAGGATTTGAAATGGATCAGAGGTTATATGATGATGGTAAATCACAATTGGAAACTATATGTTTTACCTATACTGACTGCAACTACCGTTCTGTGCGATATATGAAATGAAACCATGTAGCTTATTTGTACTTTTATGGGTTTGTCTATAGGACATGTGCCAAAAACCAGAATGGCAAAGCCCAGGGAGCTATAAGTAAATACATAAGAAGTTGGTTAAAAAAAATCTCATGATTATGTTGCTTCCTGTTTTGTCAACAAAGTAGATATATAACAAGCTATGGTTAGTGGAATGTATGAAGCAAGACATTTTTAATGGACTTGGCTGATGGTTGAAAGATCTTGGATTGCAAAGTAGGGGATGGATGGTCTGCAAAATAATATTTTCTGTATCCAGTAACATTTTATTATAGACATACTGCCTGACATATAAATCTTCTGGTAATGGAGCAGTTACTCAAATGTGTTTGTTTTATTTTACTATTATAATTATCTAAACAAAATCAAGATGCCTCCATTTGTTGAGTATGAAGCTAAGGGCACATTCTTCTCTGCCTGCTCAATCCATTGCTTCTATAACTAGAACTGAATCTGAATTTCTTTAAAAAAACACACCCACCAACCTCTCCCTGTGAGGAAAGAATGGCAAGCAGACGGTGATATGACTGGCAGAACCCAATCTGTTCATTTGGAAAAAAACAGATTGCATTTTTCCACCTGCATGGCAGGAGTGATTCCCTAAAAAGAAGCTCTCTGACTCTGTCAAGTAAGCGAGTTTTGATTCCAGAGGCATGCAAACATAAAACACTACTTAATGTCAATTAACATATAAGATGTTTGTGATATGCCCAATATCACTGAATTGCCAGCAACACAAGCTGAGGTATATTGAGATCTGCAGTTTAAAATATATATAGTTAGAAAACTTCTATTACTGATGTAGTCCAAATACTATATCTTATCACCGCCTTCCAGGATCTCAGGTCCCCAACCTCTGCTCTTTGATAGCCCAATAAGTGGATTCTTTTTTCATGCTTTTCCATGCTGTAGAGATACTCCTCAACTTACCATCACAATTGAGCCCAAAATTTTTGTGGCTAAGCAAGAGAGTTATTAAAATAGTTTTGTCCCGTGTAATAACCTCTCTTGCCACAGTTGTTAAGTGAATCACTGCAGCTGTTAAGTTGGTAATGCAGTTAGTAAATGAATTTGGCTTTCTCATTTGACTTTGTCAGTAGATCACAAAAGACAATCATGTGAATCACTGTGAATGTCATAAAAAGATGCCAGTAAACAAATGTCCTTATTTTGATCACATGAATATGGGAATGCTACAAGAGTCAAGTGTGAAAAAGATCGTGTCACTTTTTCAATGCTGTTGTAACGTTAATGGTCGTTATATGAATAATTGTAAATTGAAAACAACTAGCATGTGACCTCAAAAAAAGCCACTGTTTTAAGACTCCATCTACAGCAATTTCTTCACAGTCTTACTACGCTAAAATTCAGACAGATTCACACATTGCTTTATCCTAGATAGAAAAAGAAAACAAAATAGAAAGGTGTCACTTTCTCAACAAAATAAAACCAAACTGTCTTCAAAATACAAGTCAATAATACATTAACTGCAAACAGAGAATATTGTGCTTCAAATAGAACAGAATATCTGTAGGTCAGGATTGAACTGAAAGGGTCCTTGGTGCTCTCTTAGCTTGACTGTTTTCTTGCCCATCTGTAAGAAAACCAAGCTCAAAGAGGATCAAGGACCCCACAATATTGTGCTTATTTGTTGCTGCAGTCATATCTATGAACTGCCTCGTTGGAACAAGGCAAGTGTTCATGAAGTGTCCCATATGTAGCCAGATATTTCTGGGAGATTATATCCCACTCCAGCACCTGTTATTCAAGTGATATATTGTCATGTATTTAAAGATTCAGCCACCATTTCCCAGTATTAAGCTATTACATTGCCTTAGAGTAGGTCAGCCTATTAGTCCAACAAAATTAATGTGGGAAGGAGAAGCCGAAGTCGCAACGACATGACGTGCGATCTCAATGCTATGAGATAGCTGTTGATACTTTTGCCCCTGGGTGGTCCAAACGGACCTAAACCATCCCGCAGAGACGGTGAACAGGAAGAATACATTTTGCTGATCACAGGCACATCGCAAAGTCTCTGACCCAAGAGAAGCTCTTCAAGCCAGTGATAAAAAATCCAGCCAAATGGCTGATGAAGTCAGGGCGGCTCCAAAATGGAAGGATATGGAAAGAGAAAGTGTTTTCAGCTGGTGAGGAATTTTTACTGTTTTAAAAGTGACTGCCTATAAAAAAACCTTAAAATTAATTTAAATTGGAGAACAGAAGAAATAAGCGGTGGATTTAAATTTGTACTGGTTTTGAACAGTGGGTTATCTTACTTTTTAAATGCTATTTTTACGGATGGAATTTATGCAAGCCTTTTAAAAAGAATGGATTAAGTTTCCTTCTTCTATTTTTTTTCTCTTTGACTATTCTCTGTAATCTATGGACTAAAACTCTCCTCTTTCATTACTGTGGGTGTTTTTCTAACTCATTTAAGAATTGGACTTTTTTTTAACTTGAAATACAAAAAGATACAAAAAGAAACAAAGAAATGGTAACATTGTAACGTAACGCTGCTACTCGGAAGCTAGAC